TTCGTAGCATGTTCCATTAGTAAGATGTTCCAGGTTCTTGATAACTCATCAAGTAGTGAAAAAGAAAGAAAGAGCATAAACAAGATGTGGATTTTGCCGTTGGGTAATGGGTATTCTCCACAACTTTCAGGTAGAATGCTGAAAGAGGTAAAATATCTAGAGCATGTGTAGGGGAGGGATGGGTGGTAAGAAACGGAAATACGCCCCATCGGACTTCGTATTCTTAATACTACCTTATATAGACGACCACTTACTTTGGAAAATCAGACAGGTCGTTCGAAAATGAAAACTGCGCGTGCGCTTAGCTTCCAAGAACGACAATAAGCTAAGAAAGCCTCTGGTAAAATTTTCCATCTCGAAGCCTATGTGGCCGGGGACAATAGGCGTCATGCATGCAAGTCTGGGTTTTAAGGGGTTTCCAAGGCAAAAAACACGTGGTTTACGAAATTAAGTGTAAACTGTGTAATAAACGTGGGAGGAACTATGTCGGGGAGTGCATGGGCTCTTTTGGCTTGAGTTATAATAAACGCTGGCGAGAGGCCAAAAACAAAACAGAGAATACCCTTTCGGCGGCCAGTTTGACAAAACACGCTCAGGCTGAAATCCAGGGAAGTACGAACGCTATATCCCTTTTAGAGCTCAAAGTTATCGACAGAGAACCAGACCATCGAGACAGGAAAACAGGTGAATCTAATCTTAGAAGTCGGCGACCAGACCTTGACGTACAGCGCTGACCAGGACCGGTTAGGTGTATGGGATAAGTGCTCTGACGTGTAATGCGTCCCAGCTTAAAATCCTTTACGTGTATGGGTGATGCCTGACGCGTGATGCGCAACGTCTGTTTAATAGAAATCGTTTACATGCGTAAGTGATGCGTGATGCGTCCTGCCTCTCTACTTAAAATCGATTGCGTGTATGAATGATGGGTGATGCATGATGCCTGTTTACTTGAACACGTTGGCACGTTCACGCATTTTCGAGCATTTTGATTATTAGTTGTTTATGCACTGTATCACAGTAATGGCTGGAAAATACTCCGTGTTTAATCTCCTGGATGCTGGTGTTCTGTAAGAACTGCGGCTGGCGGTTTCTAAAAAAAACTGAAAAATCGAGTAAGATCGGAAAGCAATTTTGTATTTACTACCGGTATTCATTTCACTTCCGGCAAGTAGTCGAAATATCAATTCGTCTATCTGTCCATTTCTCTGGTTATTCCACGATGAATAAGGCTATTAGTACTGTCTTGGGTGTACGCATAACGTTCCTCACAAACGGGCCTTACGCAAAACAACCTACGTAATTTCTTTGCAAATCAACACGCTATATAAATTAGTTAACAACTGGCTTCTTCGAATAAACCGCCGGCATTATTCATTTCACAATGGTTCAGTGGGCTTTTTCTGAACGAATAGCGATTAGAAGCTGTGGTTGTGCGTACCTTTGTATTGCCGTGTGCTGCTTGTCGCCAGTTCAACTTCCCTACAGGCCACCACATATGGAACTTGTATTGACTTCAGCCAGCAGGTGCCAGGTGAACAAACTCGCCGCTAACAAGCGCCTGACATGCGACTTTTCGCCTGATTTGCTGTTACCCGAGACGAGCTTCGAAGTCCCTCTGTTTCTACTGAATCGAGCACCACGCCGTTGTGACCTTGATCACCCTCAAACGCTCGCGAGGTGGCAGAAGTGCAGAGGCGCAAAGCGCGGATCCTTTCTGTAGAATCGGTTTGTGAAAAAGTATATAAAAGTATATCACACGGTTCTCGGTATGTGCGCTTGCAAAACACCCGGTGCATTGCGTCGCAGTTTCCACAGTATTCGTCAGGATTGTCACCTGGCTAACATCAGGCAGCGACCAACAGGCGGACAAAAATGAAAGAAGCATCTTGCCACTTGGCTAACATCAGGCGGCGACCAACGGGCGGACGAAAACGAAAGAAGCATCTTGCCACTTGGCTAACATCAGGCGGCGACCAACGGGAGGACAAAAACGAAAGAAGCATCTTCAGGCCTTTATTAAACACATTCTTAAGATCGGAAGGCAGTCCGAGCCGTAAACTTCACATGAACGGTGAAACTTACGTTACGATTGGTGATGGGAACCGATTAATATCTACAGTGTCGGGGCTCTCAACGTAATGGTGGAGTATTTCTTGTTCGTTTTATTATCAGCGAGAATCCGTCCAGAGGACAGCCTCGACATTGCACAGACGACACGCAGGCTCCAGTATGACCTTTGAATGCTTTGGATTGATTTTAAACCGCTTTCGGGAGCAGTGCTTCGCGACACATGATCTCGTTCGCGAGCCCAGCGCCCGCATGTGGTGTTCGCTGCAGCAGCCAACGCCGCTCTGTCTGGCGGAAACTGCGACGCCGGACATCGGCAGTCTTGCTTCAAGATTGCGAGCGCACGTGCCCAAAACGATTTGATATAAATTGCTCGTTGCTCGATTCCGGAAAAAAACCAGACGTCCTCAAGTAAGTTTGTGTTGCCATATCCACATTTTTCATCACGTTTTGATCCACCCAATTACACACAAAAGGAGATTCTTTACATTGCCCTGACAAGGGGCCCCGGGGTTCAACACTGGGGACACAATATCCCTTCCAGTCATGGGCTGAAGGCCTTTCCGTCCTACCACGGGGTATCTACCAGCTGTCATGCCGGTCCGGAGGCCATGAGAGGGATGCTCCCCTGCCCGACTCGGGGATCCCTTTGACTGGGCAGTTGGCCCCAGATCGACGCAGGGACACCCATCGACATAGAAGGATCCCTTGTCGGCGCAGGGGTCCGACAATTGACACACAGATTCCAGTTTGGCTTGTCGGACCCCTGGCTGAAATGAAGCGAAGGGTACCCTGTTCGTTTCTCGGGCCCCTGACGTTCACAGGGTCCTTCCATTGTCTCATTGTGGACCCGCATAGTAAATTCCCATCATTCCGGTCGTTATCAGGGGGTCCAGGCCAACACAGGGAAGTGTATAGCTGACTCGGATCCCCTGGCCGACGCAGGACCCCTGCCAGGTACTGCAGGACCCTGACCAACACAGGACCCCTGTTAGGCACTGCAGGACCCTGGCGAACACAGGACCCCTGTTAGGCACTGCAGGACCCTGGCGAACGCAGGACCCCTGTTAGGCACTGCGGGGCCCCTGACTAACACAGGACCCCTGTTAGGCACTGCGGGACCCTGACCAACACAGGGCCCCTGTTAGGCACTGTAGATTCCTGACCTGACAGGGGACTCCCATTGTTTCAGGGCTCCGCCCAATGCAAATAACAGGCCCCCGGCCTTGTTCCCAATTGAGAAACGGGCCACAAGGCCTTAGGTCGACACGGCGCCGATTTTTCGGTGTTGGTGGCGTCTGGCCGACATCGAGGCCACATCGTCCCAGGGGTCCCCGAATTGTTGGAAGAGGCCCCCTGATACCCGAGAGCTCGGCCCTACGGCTGGGGTTTTTAACATGACCTACGGCCAGCCCCTTCAGCACTCCAACCGGACCCTTGTCGTCAGTCCCGAGGAGCCCCACGGGACCTCTTAGGACATAAAGGGGGGGGGGGAGGGGACACACGCAGCACGCAGCAGCACGCAGATACATACGCAGCGGACTGCCATTTTGAGGCGAGTATTGCAAGCCCCATCCTTAATAACGAAATTATCAGGACACATTGGGTACGAGACATGGTAAATGACTGGCAATTATACTACCTACCGACGTCAACAGTACTGGCTCTTCGCTCAGCTAAACCGGCGGGAACTACAACTATATCTATTCCTTTCTACGCAAGGTCCCGAGTGCGTGGAACCGCGTTGCACGGACGTGCCAGTTTTGTTCAACGGCGGTGCCTAACTGCTTACAATCATGGGCGTGCCCATCACTGTGGCCAGTGGTGTCCGAACCCAAGTAACCTTGTGGGAGACAGAGATACCTTTATGTTTTCAAAATATACTCATAACATGGTGTAACAACACTCAGTCACCGTTTACCATTACTCAAACAGCGCCGCCTGCCACCCGGCTATATTAAATTGGCGACCCGACGTAAGTTGCTCGGCGTTCACCATGGATCAGTCTGACACCCTGCGCGGAAAAGACTCTATTCAAGGCGACATTTATTGGTGTGAGAAGACCAAGATAACAGTAACTCTAATAAATAGAAGAGATTATTGCACCCCACGCCCATTAAACTCCAGGGAGCACGATCCCTGAATTAGCTCTTGGACGGTCACGGGTGGACCGTCACGGTCACGGTCACAGGTGCGAGGCTCGTGGCTCGTGGCCCGTGAGTTGAAGATACGTCTAAAAGGCTTAAAACTGCTGTCAGGACTTCTGTGGCACCTGGGCGCTCGCAGCATTAATTTAGCTGGAGAAAGCATTACCTAGATGGTCGTCCCGACAGCGCCGCGGCACAGAATATCCCGACTCTCCAGTCTACAAACCTGAGGCCTGCTCGCAGGTTTAGGCGTAGTTACCCCTACCGGCCGGCACACGCACTATCTATCCGTGACAGCCGCGGGTAGGCCTCGGCCGCGGTGACGTGGGAGGCCTCGGCAGCGGTGAAAACGGCGAGCGATAGCGGGTCAGACTCCAGAACTGTCTGCGCGTGCACGCACATTCGCTTTCTGGAGGCTGCCGCACCGCGAAAGCTCCACGACGTTCAGCCCTCTGCCCGCGTCCTCAGAACTGGCATCAACAATTCTATCGTAATGCCTTACCTTAAAATGGCACCAAGGGTTGCATCCGTGCTAACAAATTTTAATGAAGTTCTAACTCATATGGCGGCACCACTGCCACCAACGGCGTCGCTCCTTCGCGCAGCGAAACGAGCAGGAAGTGGTGGAGTTAGGATATACGCAACACAAATGTTAGTCTTCTGTGTTGTGTGCAACCGTCAATGACAAGGCTGCACGCTTCCTTTGAGGCAGCGTGTGGTACCAGGTATTTTTTATATACGCTTTTCTGTCCTGACTAAACACATGAACATGAGTTAAACAACAAGTAGATCGTAGCATAACATTTATTTCAGAAAAGACCCCACACAAATCAGTAGCAAACGCATCTATTAGCAATCAATGCTGTAGGCTTCAACGTTCTCTCATCAATCAGTTTGCTACAGTTTTCTGGCAAAGATATCATATAAAGAGGCTGCGTGTTCCACGATTAGAATCCTTTATGCCAGCGCGTTAAAACCATACTAAAGAATGCGCCGTTCCTATCTAAGAAGATACGTCCCGCATACGGAGCACCTATTGTTTGACGCTTCGGCTATGATTCTACTAGAGGCGTATGTCGGCGAAAAGCACCCCGCCGTCGTGTCTGGTCAAAGGTTGCCGGTAGGCTGTTGGTCCCTGCTCGTAGTGAAGGGTGGGAGAGACCTCGAGACCATCCGTCTCCGATTAGAGAATGCTGGGCTGAGCGCCAGAGCCGCTGGAACACGAGCACGCCAACAGACCCCTTCTAAATCGCGCCAATCTCAGACAGTTGGTGTACCCACCATGCCACCGTGCCGCGGCCCCCACCCATGACAGCACTAACCGCATTAACTTGACCCGGCGTTGGCAACTCTGAGTCAGGTCAAGTCAAGTCCTGCGCGTGGCACGAGCCGTCATTGCATCGCCCGTCTCTCACCCTGACGGGAAGGGTGATTCACCACAGGGAATCAGATCCCGCACCTCCCAGACGTGCGGCCTGACACCGCGCTGCCGCCACCCCCACTGTGCGCGCCGCAACGGGATGACATGATGGATGTCACACTAGGTCCTCAAGTTCAAATACAGTTCATCATTGGCCTCAACGTCTCGGAGGAAAAAAGGTTCACGTCAAGTCTGTTCACGACGAAGCAGAACGGAGGGCGGGCGACAACATACACACGACATCGCACACATTTCGTTAAACTACCCTTTCCACGAGTATCAGTACAGGCCATGTCATCAGCACACCCAGGCTACACATCCAGACGCCCGCCCGAGCACACCTGAGCAAAACGAGACGCGAGTCCACCCCGGTCCGGCGCCCGCTCCCAGCTGGGCCCGCGTCATCAGAGGGGAGGGGGGACGTCACCGCGTCGACCTGCGCACCGAGCTAAGCCAGAGCGCCAGCGTAGCGCAGCCAACCACCAGCAGCAGCAGCAGCGCGCGCAGTCGCCAGTGCGCGCGGCTGGTGCGCAGCACCGACAGCACGCCGTCCACCTGGCGCGCAGTGTCGGCCAACGAGCCCGAGTTCTCGATCACGAAGTGGGCGTTGTCGCGCTTGACGCGAAGCGGCAACTGGGCTTCGATACGGCGCCGACAGTCGGCCTCCGCCTCCCCGGAGCGCGCCACCAGCCGCTGCAGCTGCACGTCCTCCTCGCTGGCGAAACACCGGGGTTACCGGAGGACACCGGGGGGCACCAGAGGTCGACGACGCGGGGGATGCACGCGCCACAACCGGAAACGGGGGAAAGCCTGCACACGCGGGGACCTGCAACAACTGCAGCGTCGGATTCCAACCCATTGTATAAAAGCGCGCATTGTCAAGAAGCGTCACAGAGCCATTGATATAGCAAGATAGGAGGAATTCACTGTACCATCACATACAAGATGCTGATGCTTGCGGACTATGACATGCTTGTATGACATGACTCCTCAGATCCTCGAAGGATCTGAGGGGAGGGGAGTTGGAATCAAGACGTATGCGGAGAAAAGCGAATTTATCACTAGACGGTCTTTTGCACAGCCTCAACGTTGAAGGAGAAGGCCCACTGACAGACAAAGTTTGACCTGCATGACGTAAAACGCTACGGCACCTCTTTCTAACTGCTATACAGCTTCTTTATGCCGGCACTTATGCAGACACTTTTACTCTTTCATAACTCTGCAAGGTTTTAGCCCAGGCCTGGGATCGCGTCCAACATGGTCCCTATGGGAAGGCGAGTACATCACGGGTGCATATGAAACACGGCATCACTTGGGGCCGGAGCGTAGTCGCTAGGTCGGCTGAGTAGGCCGGTGTGGACGAGGGCAGTCATCCCGCTGCTGCACAGCTGTATGGGCTGAACTGACACTTTTGGGACCACTGTTCCCGCTTCCTCGGCATCTTTTCACATTACTGGCATGCCCCACCTCTGCTATGTTTTGACCGCGTGACATGTAATTGCTTTCACACCAACGCCTTAACACGCATACTACATGACAACGCCAGCCCATGGCCGACAAAGCCCAAGACCCGCCACTTGTGTCAAATGAGGAAGGAAAGTCCGTGGACACTTACCAGGATACTACAACTATTTTTTCCATGTAGTCAACAGCTACTCCGCTTTCGAACAGCAAGGGCAAATCTAGAACCGCGAAGGAATGACCTGAAATGGTGAAAGATACAAGCATCATACAAAAAATCCGATTACTTACACAGATCGCAACTTTTTCTGCCCAGTCAGCTTGAAACGCACAGATCTTTCAGTCACCCCGGTCTGGGCAAAGCAAATGCATTTCGCAAAGATAGATAGTTGATGTCTCCACAGGATTACGTTGAAAGGTAGGGCACCAACCACCTGTCTCATATGTCATGACCTTTCAAATGTTTCGTCTAAGGGGGTGGGGGGGGGGGGGCATAATTCGGGTCGAAATGAAGGGAATGTTCCACATTTGAAGATACTGAAGCAAAATCAGATATGACGAAATGAGTTCACTTACAAGTATTGGTATGCTGTTAAGCGGAAGGAATTGATGTAGATGAGACAGTTTCTTCTTTTTAGTACATGTGCTCCTCAACGCGTCATTGTTTGATTTTGTCAATGTACCTTACACCACATTGATTGAGAGCCAAGATATCTAAAATCGTGCTCACGACTGCCAAATCTGAAGTACTCCACAGTGATATATTTTTGGCCTTGATCGCCGCATGGCTAATGGAATGAGAGGATCTGAATGGTGTTATCATGACGTCATAGATGCCTGGGTGACTTAAGAAATAGTATACCCGAAACAGTCTGCACATTTCCGCGGGCGTGTAACTCAGAAACTTGAGGGGTTTAAGTCCTAAGGACGGGACTATGAACTGCACTGAATGATCTTCAATATGTCTATTTCAGCTTAAAACCCACACAAATGTGGAACACTCCCTTTAATGCATACGTACGCGGCTTAACCGGGCGTGTCCCATTAAAAACGCAGTCGGTTCCCTCCATATCTTCCTCACATATCCCCGCCCAAAATGGCTATTTCTGATACATTTTTTCTCGGACACCTTGCTCGTTACAGAAGACATATCGTCTTTCAGACCAGTTGGTTTGGTTTAGCCCCGTGCTCAAAGCATTTGTTTGCTTGGGGAGTTCTGTTACGACCAGCAAGACCGTAAGTCGAGTGAGTCTCGACGTCCGCTGGAAATTTTGCACCTTCGGCGGTCCGACGCGGCTACACATGCTTTTGTCGGGTTTAAATATTTGCAAATGCTGATCGTACCACGAAGATGCTTTCGGCAATAAATACATAATTATTTACATTCGTGTGGTAGTATTTTCCTAACACTTCAATGCCGGCTGCTTCATCACGAGGCGTACATTTGCAACGCTGCAATGTCCCCACTGTTTACTTTCCTATTTGATTAGCATATGGAAGGTAACATTTTGAAATCGCAACACGCTTGAAAAAAACGCGGGTTAAAAAGAGGCCCACATTTCGGTGAATAGGCAGAGCAGGTGGAGGTGTGCTATCGGCCGTGCACACCTCCATTGAGTGATATAGTGTAAGCTAATACACCGTCTACAAAAAGGCGAGCGATCCCACCACTGTAAGACCATAAGTGTTTCGGTACATGTTCGCGAAGGAAACACTGTCACGCTGTCCCAAAGCGGCACAAAATTACAATACACAGTGGTCTATACTCATGCAGATTATTTCATAGAATTTATATAGACAGGAAAGCCAGTTTGTTCTAACCAATATCCACCAGAAATACTACCGTTTTCCCACAACAAATAACACACCGTCTACAAATAGGTCAGCGATCCCACCACTGCAACACCAGAAGTGTTTCGGTACAAGATCGCGAAAGAAACATTGTCACGCTGTATCCAAGCGGTACAAAATACAATACACTGTGGTCTATACTCATACAGATTATATCATGGAATTTATATAGGCATGAAAAGCAGTTTGTTCTAACCAATATCCACCCAAAGTGCCACCGTTTTCCCACAACATAGTCACACTAATTAAGAGAGTAAGTCATTTCGCATTCCTCCATCTGCCCCTGCTGAACTAACGAAAGGAAGACATTTTGGAGCATTCTTAAGTGACATCAGTATGGCGTCCCAAAGGCGACCGGCTGCATTCGGCCCCGTTCGTGCATCATCCACATGGTGATAACATTCACGAACGTCGCCACTTCGCTGATCCCATGCCGCAAAAAGCGTCTTACTAATCATCGAATTATATTTATCATAACTCAAATGAGATTGATCGCATGACGTAAATCGCATAGTGAACTGCGGTCAGAATACTTTATTCCAAATGTTTGACTCGTGAATTTCGGCGGGTCCACGGCGTAGGCGCATTCAATACAGTTCTGTCGGCCGTCAGCAACGTCTCCGTCTGGACATCGCCAATGCTGCGAATTGGTAAACCATTCCAACTGAGTGGTTGGCCGCCTGGAGACTTTACTTCGTTGCTATGTTGCAATGCTGAGCGCGCAACAGCGCTGTTCACGGCTTTGGCCAAGGTTCTATCCCTGAAGTCTAGTCACAAGGAGTTTCATGATGTGTGCTGCGGGTGACTCGGTCGCACTTTCTGCTGGCATGCAGTGATTAACTACTGCCTACGTAATGTATTATTTTAATGTATTGTTGTGACAGTCTCTGAAGGTGGCACTCTCCCTTGCAGGGTACTGTCATACACAGCGCCTGTTTCAGGCATAATACATTAGATTTTCACAGGGCTATTGATTGCGACCAAAGAGGCCTCTTTGAGTGGATGGGAAACAAGCGTGTCCGTGTTTCCTGAACTCCATACGAATATCACCTGCCGCAGTCTGATCTAATGCATTATTTTCTTCATCAGGAATTCCTGCTTACTTTTATCAACCACCGCCGCGTTGTCGAAGGTACATGTATGGCTACATAACCCATGCATGTTCAAAATAAAGTATCCAAGCCCAAATTAGGCCCCCCCCCCCCCCCCTCCAGCTTGCACAGTTCTTACCCTGCAGGAAAAGCTTTAATGTTTCCCAAATCATCAGCCGCTGTATTTTGCCATGTGTAATGCGATTGAGTTGGCGACGTTTTTCCGTGTCGCGGAAGATGACTCTGCCCAGAGCAGCGCGGTCCAGCTCGCCACTGTCCAGGAAGACCGCTGGGCCGAAGGCGTCTCGGATCTGGCGCCAGGCCTTCCTCCCGGGCTCAACAACTGAAATCAGTCAAAATGTGGTGACCTAATGTAGACGACCTATCAGTTTTCCATTTTTTGATGTGTAAAAGCCAGCCTGGAGTTGTACATCAATCGCATAGCGTTGCAAAGCGCATGATTATACATTCGACAACTGACAAGTTTCAGAACTCATGTACTCAGGAACGGGGAAAAAATGACTATCATGTCTTTACCTTTTAGGCATTCATTTGATTTATCGGTCTATTAATCTAATTTAGGCACGTGTACCTGCGCACCAAGTCATCATACTTGCAGCTACGCAAGTCATGAACTAAAAGTATGGAAGAGTAAAATAAGATGTAACAATGGGAGGGCCTCAACAGAAGCTGTTAATAACGCCAAGATTTGAGTTTATGAGGACCGATAAACACAAACCTTCACCATTTGATGTCACTTGGTCGCTAACCTATCATTACCAGAAGATAGTGACCTGGGATCACTCAAAAGGTCACCAAAACTGTAGAAGCGGAAGAACACCTTGCAGACAACACCAAACCTCATACATCTGATTTGCCAGACGCACAGCGGTTAACGAAGACGCGTTAAGCACTGTACTATCTGCACCCTCCATGAAAGTGTTACCGGTCGATGCGCCAGAGTCAACATCCCAAATTTTCCAGAACATGTTGATCTCGGAACAGGTCGAAGGAAACCAAAAACACCCAAAACCACATTAACTGCAGACAGCCCCATGCTCTGAGCCCTAGGGACTGAGCCTAAGCAAAAAACCTACCAATTGATGCACATTGTTACTCAATAACCAAGCATTGCTGGAATATAGTGACCTTGGGTCAGGTCGAAGTTTACAACAGATTTTGCACTGATCGATCCCATAGGCACAGAGCATGAGGGGTTCTTAGCAAGGTGATTTATGTCCAGTTCAGGTGTCTTGGTGACCTTTGACCTGATGATCTGCTGTCATGTTCCATAGAGAATAGGTCACTGACCATGGTAAATCAAATGGTTAAGCTACTGTGTCACTTGGTTCCATAGGCTCAGAGCACAGGGTCACCTGCAGCCAAGTTTGGTGATTTTGGGGCATCTTTACTGACCTTTGACCCAGCCAAATGTCACTATGTTCTGGAAATGTCAGGATATTGACCATGACATATCAACTGGTGCAGGTTTTGTAGTGATCTACCCAATATGCTTAGGGCATGCAGCTGTCTGCAAACTAATTTTTCTAGATTTTGGCCTTTTTGGTGATCTTTGACCTGACCCAAGCTTGTCATCTTCTGGAAAGGGTAGGTTGTCGGCCAAGGAACATGAAATAGTGAAGCTTTGGTGTTGATCGGTCCCATGGCCTCAGAGCATGGTGTTCTTGACAGGTTTTGTCAGCTGTGTGTGTCAACCGTACCCCACAACAACATTGTGGATCTTTGTTTGTCTAAAAGCCGGCCATGCATGTAATAATGGAATATACACATACCTTTTCTAGCCATAACATCAGCATCAACAACTGGAACTCCTCTGTCTTGTAGTAATCGGGAAACTGTACTTTTACCAGTTGCAATGCCACCAGTTAAACCAACCAAGAACATTTTTGGTATGCTGACCTGAAAAGATGTAAATTGTCAAATCAAATGAAAGAAGGATGCAGCAAGAACTGGTCACAAACATGCATGTGAAAGCTGAAAAACATCCTCTAAAATCAAGAATTAACCTCCCTCACATCTCAAAAATCAACACCCTCCCCATACAATAAACACATCACATAAACAGGATGTGATGTAAAATGCTGGCAGCCTCATATTTAACATGCAAAGGGTCCTGTAAGTCAGGGGCAAGACATTGATTTCAATATTTTTTGTAAGTCCAAGGCAAGAGTGGCTTAATTCATAATATCATCACAAAACAGTATGCATTTGCAGTTGGTCCATGGGAAATATTGTAAGAATAGTACACTATCTCATGAGGCACCCAGCAGTACCCAAGCAACATGTGTGCTGGGCGGGGACTGTACAATCAGTTACACCGTCATATACCAACAAAAGATTGTGCAGTGGGGTAAGATAAGCTTGGTCACGCCATAAGTTGTGCGGTGAGGTTCAGAAAGGCCTTATGTGTATCGATATCGGTATCACTTATCAGGTACATTTGTGGTCATCTGTAAGGCAACACGGTCAAACGTGAATACCACGGATACTACATATAACCCAAAACCTTCACTTACAATGTCTCCAGTATCGTTAGAACGCACACCCAACTAAGCCGAAGGCACAGACGCCCATGTATGCTCCACTTATCAGGACCATGGGAGAGCATAGGCTTCCCTCCTTATTTTCTTTTTAATTCACACTCGAAACATCCGCGGCGTTTTCACACCAATAAAAGGGTACCAAATCCTTGGTCGGCCAAAACGCGCAGAACAAAATTGCACCCATGGACGGACGTCGAAGAAGAGGAGTTCTTTTCAAGTTAGGGCTTCCCAGGACGAAACAACACTACACGACGCTCCGAGGACTTGCCCAGCTGGAAGAGCCTCTCTCTGTTACTGTGATGAAGCGCCCCAGCATCCTTACATCGCGCCGCCGACCGATGGCATGTCAAATGAGTGTGAAGCAGAAGCCCCCGCCTTCATATAATTCAAATGAATCGCACGCCTAGACTGGTCTGTATTAGGACGCAGCGCGGGTTATGACCCCTAGTCACCCCGTGACACCCGACTCTCGCTCGGCTGGCGGTCGGTTATATTGGAAGCCAGCCGCGCCGACGGCTGCTCTTGCCTGCCACGAACGCAATGCGAGACTGGAGACTTGGAATACAACCGTCAGCCGAAACAGAGACGGCTGCCAGTCGTCTCTATTTCGTTCCTCGCCTACATGAGCCAAGTCCACCACTGTCGTCAACACCATACGCGGGCTCGGTGCGCTCATTAGGTCTAGCGTGTGCGCAGGTGGAGAGGCTGAGTTGTCGTCCAAGTGTACGTAATGTGTGTTACTTTGTGGCGAAACAGATACTTGTCACCTCGGTTTTCCTATATTCATTCTTTAAAGCTTCATTCCTAGTGTCTAATCATACTTTCTTCACAGAGTTTCCTTGTGTACACACAAACCCCTCGGGCCCTTCGTGCCCTTCATCCTTTCAATCGGGTCCTTGATCGTCGGTCTCGAAGAGCCCGTCAGTCCCTCTTCGGCCTCCAACAGTGCTCCTGGATGACTCGGGATCCCTTGCCGACGCAGGGCCTCTGTCAGGCACTGTAGGCCCCTGACCGACACAGGGCCCCTCATTGGCTCAGGGGCCAGACCAATGTAAATCACGGGCCGTGGCCTTGCCCCTGCTTGGGAAATGCAGCCTCAGGCCCCACGCGGCACGGAGCTTACTGTTCGGTGCTGGTGGTGTCTGAGCAACATAGAGGCCCTCATTGACTACGGATTCCCCCAATCGGCGCAAAAGGCCCGCTGGTTGGTACTTGCGGGCCCGGCCCGCGGGCCTGGGACCCCTAACATTAAAGGGTTGACCTCCGGCCAACCCTTCAGGTTCTTAATCGTCGGTCCCGAGGGGCCAGAATGGCCCCTCGGGACCGAAGCCTACGCCTTTACGCCGAGCTTTTACGCTTTTGGCGTTTAATCGTGTATCGGATGTTAGGATGTGGGAGCTCGCATTAGCTACTATTATGGACATCTTTTTATGACAGTGTCTGTACAGATTTGGATAATTTTCTGGATTCGCGTTTCTTGGATTTCAGATGGAAGTTTTTGTTTATCCCTGCTCAGCCTTTTTCACTCGCGTTTGATATTTCTGGACACAAAATGGGTGGGGTCAACGTAATGTAATAAATATAGCTGGTTTAATGCGGCCCTTGCCTAGCCTTCGGCAGAAAGCAATCTTCCTTCGGATGTGACGCTACATCCGTTGATGAAAAAGACATTGCGTTAGCAACAAAAAAAAAGCAATAAAAAGGCTAGGCATGATGCATTCACGATGCACCTGGAGGTCGGATCCAAAATCAAAAGGGCTGATATCAGGGGCGTAGTTTTCCATTCAGCTTGAGAAGGCCAAGACCCCCCCCCCCCCTCCCCAATTTCCGGAGAAGCGCGTCCAACCATGCGAGAAACCACTTTTTGTGTATTTCGGGAATATGTTTAACCATTTTCTCCTGCTCAGCCACTCCCCTTCAACTTATCTGGCAAAAGTCGCCCTTGGTGGTGACTGGTATACACAGGTGTACCCACGTCTCCGAGATTGGGGGACCGATCAGGAATGGGGATCAAACTAGAATCAGGAGAGGACAACCGAACCCGAGAATGGCATGTCAAGGAAAGGACAAACTGGCATCGAGAAGAGGAGCAAGACTTCATCTACCAATCAGTTTCCTTCCACCTGGGAGCATGGGATGGCAACAGGGCGCATAAAATCTATTGGAAATGAGGTAGTATTAGCTGGGCAGCCTTCCCTCCCTCCCCCTCTGTTCATATGCTTGTGCAAAAGCCAGGTCATTATAATATTGACTTTAGGAACGTCATGTCGTTAATTTATAGCTGTAACGCCACAAAGTGATGGTGATTGCGTCATTTGGGGATGGCGACATACATTTAAGGGAAAGGCTTTCTAGGGAAAGCGACATACATTGTCGCACACCATTTTACGGAGCGCTTGCGGCTGCAAAGGCCATTAAGTGCTCAAGGGTCATGTCGCAACCGGGTTCAAGCCCGGGCCCCACGTGGGGGCCCACCGCTCGGCTACCTAGCACTCAAGACTAGTGTTACTGCAGCGCACGCAGATTCTGTATCAAATGGTCATTCGGCCAAGCCTGTGAGACACAGCCACAGTGGGACACGGGGGAGTGTACAGCTGCGCCTAAACAGCACACGTTCTGCTGACTAAGTCAGCCAGCGAAGGCCAGCTTTCAAGCACTGTTCTCCGGATGGTCCCCTCGGCGCAGCTTTCGTTGCACTTTCCAGAATCCTCCATGAAGCCATTGTTATTGTAGCTGCCACTGTTAGATTTCGCCATATTTCCCGCTGCTCCAATGGATTTGGGCTGTTCTCTACGATCAGTCCCAAAAATACTTCATAAAAATGCTGTATTCCCCAGCAGCAGGCCGATTCGCTTCAACGTGGCTACGCATTCCACGGGTCCCCTCACGTACCCTTCGCAACTTATTATTCACTCAACCCGTGCGCCCTGTTCTTCATACCGAGAGCTGGAGCCAGATATACACATCGTCACTGTGGTTCACCTTTTTCGCCGCAACAAGTGAAAGGCCTGAAGCTGAGGCTGATGGGGCTATTGCCGGTGGCCTCTTAACTGCGGCGCGGGCGCTTTCCTTTGATCTACATACAACTCTCATTGGTACTGTTTCATGCCACCGATGCCACCGATGCCATCGGTACCATTGTGACGTCGAAAAAATACAGGATTGTCGCCCCTTGGGTACAGTCAATTTGTGAGGAGAATAATGCAAACATCGATTCATAAAATGATGATAACTGGTCATGCTATCGTTGAGAAGGTGACACGTCTGGGGAGGGGGTGGTGTAGCGGCGCGAGGTCAACATCCAAAAAAGTGAGGTCACCGACAGGTGGCACCAACGAGTGTTGTGGTGTGCGAGAGGTGTTACGTGTCTGGTAGAACCGTGCGCGTCTCGAGGGGCTAGTTCGTTGTTTTTATGTTGGCCAATAGTATAAGTACTTTGTCTACAAATAGCTGATGGCTAATGTAGCTATTGTTTGGCGGTTCATATCATGTTGCCAATCATAACTAAGCAGATTGTTGCTGCCATAAGGTGATACAGCTGTCCCGAGCCATGGCGTTATAATCGAACAACACCATCACAAGGCTCGCGTCGACCCATTCGGTGGCCATACACCCGTTTGGCAAGATCTTGGCAAGTGGTTTGCTCCTTTTGCATCCCTCAGTCAAGGATTCCTTTCGCGCATTGTTGATCTCGTCGCTTTCACATTCGCGCTAGCTCCAAAGACGCCTTTTCGCTTAAGTTTTGTTGTTCTCTTCTCGCTCCCCCAGTATGGGAAAGCGAAGCAATGTAAGAAGGATGACACTGACACGGACTGGAACTCGGCCTCTGACATCGATAATTCTCTGGATATAGACGACGGAAGTGCCGCTAGCCCCGCTTTGGCCACCACTTCGCCCGATGACCTTCGAGCGTCCCAGGCCGATTCCATTGTGGTCCATACACTTCTGCCGCGGTGTCTGGACAGCAGCCGTTTCCGTCCAACGCCCCCGGTTCCGACTCTCCCTCGTCTTTGATCACTCCGGTGCCTGCTCGCCCTGATGCTGACCCTTGCTCGACAATGACCAGTGTTCGCCTGCCTTCTGAGCCAATTCTGGATCCTCTTGGATCGTACGTTGTCGTGCAACCTTGTGATGAAAATGTGTCTTTTCGGAAGACCAACGTTTTCTGGCCATCAAAGTAAATTCAGGCTGTCTGCGGCCCATGCGACCTGAAAATTGAAGCACGTGCAAGCGGGTCACTCGTCATCAAAACAACCACTCACGCACAGGCCGGGGCTCTTCTCAAAACAACGAAATTCTGTGGAAAGCATGTCAAGGTTGTGGTGACCCAGGACATCATGCCAGTTCATCACAATGTCCTGTATGGAAGCGAGAGAAAGAGATATGTGCAATCAGGGCAACAACAGGTGTGTCATATCCCCAGGCACGGCGCACCGTGTAATCACGAATGTCACTGCAGCCCAACAAAACATATGCACCGGCAGCAAAAGTCACCATGACCACCTGCGGAACACAGACCGGCTCTATTCCCCAACTGCCTCCTCTGCAGATTCCCAACCACCACACCTCTGTTTCAACTGAGTCGAACACGCAGACCAGACGAGAGGTACTGTGGAGCCGCCCCTGGCTGGGCGTTCGGACGCTCAGGTGTCCGTGCACTCCCGTCTCCAGCCTGGCCGGCGTTCCAGCCTTCCGGCTATGCGTGGTCCGCGTGCGGATCAAGTCGTTCGGCGCTCCAGGCCCCCCCCCCCCCCCCCCGGCTACGAACGGTCAGCAGCCGGGTCCCTCTGGCCGCCGCCCGAACGGCCCCTCCCCTCCCCCTGCACAACACCTACAACACGTCTGAGTGAAGACCGCCGGTCCCGCCCCCCTGTGAGGGTGGCCATGGGACGGCTTCAGTCAGTTTCGATCGGTCGATTCCCACCAACCGGTGGGAATAGATCAAACCAATACGAATGGTCTTTTGTCTTACAATGGAATTGTCGCGGTCTAATTTCAAGGTGGTCTAAAATGAAAGCATTTTTTGCAGTAGTAGCTCTCATCATTATCGCTGTACAGGAAATTCGGTTCGTCCTACT